CTTATTTTAGTTTCTGCCTTTATATAATCGGATGATAACATTCTAAAAGGCATTTCGACTTTAAACTGAGCTAGAAATATGGACCATAACTATAAATTATACCGTAACTATAAACTCCATAAACTATAGTGAAATCTTTGACAGCCTTCCAACTGAAAAAATGGGTAAGAAATGAGAAAAAGGGTAACATTTTGCACCGGGATCTTGACAAAGAGTTCCCAGCAGCACCGTTACATGCTGTATTCTGTTGTTCTTGTACTGGTGAAATCCAGAAAAAAAAATCATAAACTCACTGCAGGGGCACATCACTTAGGAATCCCAAAGGATTAAACAAATAGCAGCTGTAAGGTCTCATGTCTCTGACAGCCAAAAAAACAAGCAACAGTGACACTGCTTAAAGGCAGTGCAGAAAGTAAGTGAAACATTTGAATTAGTAGGGGCTGTTAATGCTGCCAACATACCATTAAAGAATATAGACTATGTAAAACCATGTTAATAATTAGAGAAAAACATGGCAGATGGTGGTATTTTTACATTGTGCAAAGAAAAGATGCACAAAATACACAGAGATAATTGCAATAGGTCTTCAGTCTATTAAATTGACACTGGAGGAATCTGATGCAGTTATAGACAAGATAATGGATACCCATAAAAATATGTTCACCATATATTATTCATACGTGGTTTCTGGAAAAATATAGATGTTAGATTTTCTCTATGTAGCTCAACTCTAATCTGTATGGTAGAACTATGAATTATAGTTTTGACTTCAGCCACACTACATAGAATGCAGTTTACCTTTCTTGCAAATCCCCATCTTTAGCTAGAGATGTCTGATGCAAACATTTCTTCAAAGTTTATAATCTGGTGTCAGCGCACAAATAGTGTCTGGCACTGTCCTGTACAAAAACTATGATACCAGGAGCTGACAATGATTCAGTGGCAATGGTGTAGCGTCACAGCATTCTGAATCAGCGATTACTAGGTTGTATAAGTGGTTTCATGCAGTTACCTACTTTACCAAAATGGGACACTACAAGTGCACTAGGCACAGTCTTTGCTTAAGATAAATTATCTTTAAGAACAGATTAAGAGGAACAACTGGTATCTGTGACTGAGAATACAGCTTCTCACATGGTGTGAATGGCAGAAATAAAACTTCTTCCAAAGTATATTCTAAGATCGACAATCTCATAAATTCATTAAAGGGCATAACATTACAAGGACTTTCAGATGCAAAGTACAAAATGCAAGCTATACTACTGTTCAGCTGAAGACAAAGTGTTTTAAAGAGCCAGTTGTCTGCTTTATTAAATCCATTTGCATCTTGTGATCAAGACAACCACAACTCTTTCATTTTTATTCAGCACTACTAAAAGTTACTTAGATCTGAAATGGACTATTTCTCAATATAGGTCCCTATTATAAGAAACTTTACTGGCATAGGCACTTTACCTAAAATAAGCAAAATGAAAGTTACTTGAAGGTAAAGAATTTCCCTTTTCATAAATGTCACATTTCAAAAGATAGAGTTTGTAGTAGAAGCACTGTTAAAATACTCATCACTTACTTTTATTCCCAACATTTTAAAGATTGAAAGTATAGGTTAATGAGTGTGGCTCATCTAGCTCATTTAGGTTTAAGATCTCTAGTTTTCATGTACATCTAGGAAAAACAAATTTGCATGTAATTTAAAAAGATTGAGATGAAATATTTAAATCCTCACACAACCATTTGCTTTTTCATATTCTACCGTTTCCTTGCTTGTTCACCTGTTTCAACAGAGTTCACACTTTACCTTAAGCCAAGGTCTGTGACCTGATAGCATCCTGACAGACTGAGAAATCTCAGTCTTCGACAAGCCTCAAGCTGATCAGTCCTTTTTTCACTCCCAGAGCAAATCAAGTCCTTATCCTCCGTCTGTCTAGTCCTTAACAGTGCAGAGGGTTCTGGGAATGTCCCAGTAGTCCTTAGAGCTATTTCATTGCAGCAGAAGGAGTGACCGCAATGAGCCTCAGAAGAAGAGGAAGTATACTGCTGCCAATAGGCACTAGTCCTTAAGCCATACTTGCTTCTTCTGCAGCAACAAGAGATGTTTGATGGCTGACTCTCCACAAAACCAAGTCCATCACTGCTTTTTTGCTTCCATTCTGCTGCATCTTCAATATCAACCAAATCCACAGGATCTAACACCCAGACATGGGACGGAGTGCTTGCTTGTTCTCCAGTTTTTCTCTTGAAAATTAGAGCTTGACGACCACAGGACTGGAGACTACAGTCATCGCTGCCCCGCACACTAACCAACTGTTGTTCCTGTAAAGTCTTTATACACTTGTTTTGACAATTTTTGTGAAGTCTTTCTTTCTCCTTTAGTGAAGTAAGGTCTCCAAGAGCCAGAGAGAGCTTCTTCAAAGTCATGTCAGTAATCTTCTCACAGCCAGAAAGGTCAAGATGTTCAAGTGTCTGGCAGCTCCCAAGAAATGACCAGCTACAGACACAAAAGGGTAAAGGAAGAAAGATGTTGGATAAAGCCCTAATGTGTTGAAAATATCAATAATAGCAATGGATTAAAATTTCACTTTTCATTAGTTATGAAATATAAGTTTAAGAATAAGTAAAAGGTTTATTACATGCTGAAAAGAGTAGGAAAAACATGTTTCAGCTGTGAAGCCTTCTTTGGTTGTCAACGGGTGTATAAACCTTTATTTGTTCCTTTGCAGCCTACGCATACTGACACAGCTACCTACTTGAACTAATTAAAATTCTCAATCAAATATAAAGACATTTATGCTCAAACCTTTCTGAAACAGATCTCAAAAACAAAACAAAATTATTGGTCTCCAAATCAAATTTTATTACCTTTTCTAATTTTGTAAAAAAAAAACTATCAAAAAGCAAAAGATGCAACTGTTGTGCAAACCAGGAGTAAAAAAAGATGATACACAATAATTAGGATCTGTGGGATAATCCCCAGGGTTTTGTGATTACCTTTCAAAAAACAAACAGGATTACCTGTCAAAAGCTGAGTCAGTGATGTCCGTCTGGGTGAGATCCAAGTGTGTTAAGTTGGGACACAGACTGAGCATTTGTCTTACCTGTGAAAGTATGATGGAGAAAAAATAGATTTCAATATTTAATTGCGATGGAAATGACATCCATCAAAATAATTTCTTATTTCATACCATTTTGCTGGAGACAGTCGAACTGTAAGCCAAAACGAGAGACTTCACAGATGGTCCGACAACTGGAAGCAGATGCTGAACCATTCCATACAGTAAGCTCTTCTCTTTCTGCATTACATTAACAGCTGGGGAGTTTTCCCAACCTTCCTCTACAAAAGAATCAGATCACAATTTAGCAGGAGAAAAAGTTAAACATTCTGAACCAACATCCCCTAATTATTTCAGGAATACACCACAACATACAATAAGAAATTACTACCAACCAGATTCATCGATATCTGCATCTTCATCCCATTCCTGGTATGCTTTATTTTCATCTTCCCTGCTCTTTCTCCACTCATCATCTGGCTCCTGATCCAGGTCTCCTGGAGGTCCTCTGTTAAAATTACCTGAGCAGGGGAAAAGGTTTTAGGATAGGTCAGAGCAAACACATTACACACTCTTATAAGACTCAACTATATTAAGCCCTGTATTTGGAAAGAATCATTAGAATGTCAGAATTCCAGAAGCATTGGCACCATTTGAAACAATGATGTTCACCAATTGATAATATTAATGAATATACAATAACTGCAGACATAGGTATGGGTCTCCATTCCCAAATGAGCAATTATAATTGTATGAACTCTGATAAAACAGAGATCAGAACAATTTAAAAAGGCTTTAGGCTTTTTGAGTGGAGTTTAGTTCAATATAAACAATATTAATGTTACAGATGTATGGCATTAATACCTTGCATATAGCAATACAGAATAGTATTTTCATAAGCCCACAGACAACAGTTTCATTTACGAAAAGTAATATACACTGATGCTCCATTAATCCCATAAAAACATTACATAACATCTGGTACAACATTAAGAACTCCTGTTTGCTGCTTTAAATTTTTACATCTACATAATTACACTGAGATCACTGGAACTTTCTATACAAAGTTCTAAAAAAGGCAACAAAGGTACTAAAGGCATGACATCAAAACTTCATTTTCACACCCTTCAGTTGTCTGCAACATCAAACTATTCTGACTAATCTAAATGCAAATGCTCAACTTTATGGGTAAAATTGTTAATTAAACCCGAGCTTGCGTGTTAAAGCATGATTAGCAAAATGTAATCCGAGAACTAGCTATTCCTCACCTCTAGCCCAGTCCACTGGATACAGGTGTTTCCAGAGTGATCCAGTTTTAACCACCTGTGACCAAGATGAGCAGACTCGACTGCAGCGGCACAGATCCTCCGGACTGAGATGCCTGAAGACCTTCAAAAGGACCTCAGGTGGAAGGTGGGAAATACTGATTGAACTTGTATTCTTTTCAAAACCTGTAAGTAAAATATAAAGAAAAAAAGACACTACTTTATATTGCCTATTTTCCCAGTAAATGAAATCACACAAAGAAACATGCATGGATGTTTACAAACACTTTTAGTAAGTCATGGTTGCTTCCAAAGTTATTTACCCAATACCCATTTATAAGAGATATACAAGGTGTGACAGCCTAAATATCTGATATTTTACAAATCTGTTGCATCATAACAATGCCACAGCACAAATTACTTGTGAATGTAATGGATTACATTTTAAAACCAAGCAAGTACACTATGCGATTTATTTTAATACTTATGACTGTATACTCTTATCTTAACATTGACTATTTCAACACTTACTTCTAGTCTATAAACTAGTTTTCTCAGTTCATGTTCCTTTAGATTAGTGGAAAAATCACTTATGTATTATGTATATTTAATTTGACAAAAAACTGCTTTTAAAATGTATTAGCAGCCAGAAATCGTGCATCTTTGCATATCTTCTTTTTCTATTCTTCATTGCCACGTTCCAAATTTCATTTTTATTCATTTTCAAATTTAAATTAGGTTACATGACTCATTCCTAATGCCCTGGATGTTACAATTAATAGTGAAAGTGAAATTTAATTGAAGTGTGTTCAGAAATTCATGATGCAAATTCTTATCATTCCAGATCTTAATGTGATGAGATAAAAATACACAGAAAAAGACTGCAATGGTATTTATATGTTGATCTGGAACCTTATTAAGTGAAGACTTCATACTATCCCCATCAGTCATACTGACATCTGAGAAAATTATGTTCTCATTGCTCTTTTACCAAGGTTCACATCTCTAGCAAACTAAAGTACAACATCATTTTTATAATATCCTTTAATCCCGGACCTTGTAAGTAACTGATGTAAAACTTCTTCACTCTGTAGATAAATACGATAAACCCTGTCTGGACAGGAACTCCCAAGAGCACGGACTGGCAATCCACTAGGTCAAATTTGTCTGTGAATGACTGGCATACTGTATAGTAACATTCAATATAAAGTAGTACTATTGCACTACTGATGTATTGTGAAACACCAGAATATACCTGTGTGATTTATGTTTTTGTGGTAAAAACAGCAGTAAGAGGAAGTGAGATTAAAAAAAAAAAGTCATAATTTGCAAACAGAGCCTCCGATGTCAAAAAAATAAAGTGTATTAAGTGCATGGGTAGAACATATTTTGCAACATACAGTTAACTGTCATTAGAACTTCCAACTTCCCTTCAAATTTTAGGAATGCTATTAAAAACTTAACAGAATGAGAAATGATGCACATACCAGTCCTGATTGCTGAGAAGTTTAAAAATATAGATCATTTGAACACAATGTTACTAAATACCAGTTTAGTCACAGTGGTCCAAAACTGCTCTAAATTACTCACCCTCATCCACCTTTTCATGCACAGAGTATTTGAAGGCTTTATGCAGTTCTGCCTGGTTCCATAGGCTCAGCCCCTTCAAAACCTCCATTGTATCCCAGCACCTTTGTGAGTAATGCTGTGCTATCACCTTTTTCCTAATGTCCTTCAGTTCCTCATAGGTGAAGTACTCCATTAGCATCGGCTGGAACACCTTGAATGTGCATTTTAAAGCATTATATCACAAGTTGCCACGAAGCTTTACATCTTTATTACAGGATTATTAATAGTTCTATAAACCTTCTGGGTTATTTATTAATGTTGTACTGTTATCCTGTAGGTTATATACTCTTCAGCAGAATTAAATTTTGAGGTCTTAAAAAAGTAATTTTAATGACTAAAAGTAATGAGATTGTAAGCCAAGTACACAAAACGTTATTATTTTCCTTCTTCTGTAATGGCAATCAAACCATAGCACTGAAAATGGCAGCTTTGACAGTGGAACATATCTGCAGAGACATAATAATTTAAGGGAAAAAAAGCACTGTATATTGGCACCTACCTCCTCCTCTTCTTTCATATGAGGAAGGAAATCCTGTGTAAAAGCCTCCAGTCTTTCTTTCAGCTGTTGTGCATAGTTCAGCTGTTCATATTCATTCTAAACCCAAAATAAGATGCACACTGTAAGCTTTCAATCTAAAAAATATGTATTCTAAATGTTCACAGTATTAACAGAAGTGTAGTAAAATAAATGTTAAATGCCACTATCAGCAAACTTGCTACACCAAGTCCTTGGACAAATAATTTCTTATTATTAACATTTACACTTGTCCAACACAACATTCAAGAGCCTAGTACATCTAATAAAAGGTTATCCAATTTAAAATTGTAATTGTCACCTAAACTCTGTCATGGTACTTATATATTACATAATGATAGACAAACACTTCAGTACCACCTGGAGCAAGGAGTAAAGTATTTTTAATGGACCACTTATAAAATGTTCCTCTTGTGCCCGACTGTAAACCTTCTGGATACCGTCCATACACACAAAGCAATGCAGATTTCCTCATTCTTTCTCGGCAGAAGTCTTACCAACTTTCCTGTTGGCAAATTCTAGAGGAACACAACAGATGGTGCAACAGTAGACTTCTCTACTTCTCTAGACTTTCAGTATTAGGTGTGGTATGAAATGCAGACTCATGCTGAGGAACCAGAACTCATCGCCTAGATGGTCATTAAATCACATCACTTTAGACCACCTATACTTTTCCTTAATCCCACTGTGTTAAGAACGGGATTCAGAAACTGCAGTGTGAGATGCTGCTACTTAAGGTATTTTCTAAATATTCCAATATATCATATGTAGAATGTAACAGTATGACGTTACTACAGATTTCCTAAGCAGTGGTAAACAGAATTCATAAATTTGCTTCCATTACATTTTCTTCTTAATCATGATCCACCACATATCTTTCCCTTGACATATGGTGAGTTTTCTCGTAACCTAATATTGTACTGTAAATATTTTCACTTTTCCCAGAATGGGAACCAAACAAAGGACTCCACTTCCATTTAGAAGAAATCAACAAAAACTGAATTAAAAAAAAAAAACTTACAAAAGCTAAAAAGAACATTTTATTAAAATTTCCCTGGTATATTTCACCCTGTACTATGCCTTATACATGTTTTTGCTAATGGGTTTATGATGACATTTTTGGTGGACTGATGAAATATTTTACAGTAAAACCTTTCATCTTACAGTTTTTTGGAATGGAGACAAGACCTAGGAAATTTAAGAAGTGGCTGTTCTTTTACTTTACTCTAACAAATACAGCTCTTGTTATTAACCATTTTTTTCTATCTTGGACCTTTAAAACAGCACATCTAAGATATGACTGAACAATACCACGTAATCTTAACCACTGTCAAACATTTACACAGTCCCATTACCAGTAAGAAATTAAACTTAACTCCATATAAAACCATTTCATAGCCGAAATTGTTAAAACAGCTATATCAAACAGGTCAGGTGATAAAGTAGCAGAGGGCAGATTATAAGTGTTGAAACCCAGCCCAGGGCACACACTCCTACAGTAAAACATCCACTTAATAAAACTACACATTAGCTGGGAACTCATGCAACCATGTATGGCCAGCAGCCATATCACCCTGCAACTCACAACTGGTAGTCCACTGAAGCTAAGCAGGTGTGAGCCTGGTCAGTACCTAGATGGGAGACGACCTGGAAAAAACTAAGGTTGCTGCTGGAAGCTGTGTTAGTGGGGCCAGCAGGGGGCGCTCACCCTGCGGTCTGTGTGGGTCCTAATGCCCCAGTATAGTGATGGGGACACTATACTGTAAACAGGTGCCGTCCTTCGGATGAGATATAAAAACCAAGGTCCTGACTCTCTATGGTCATTAAAAATCCCAGGGTGTTTCTCGAAAAGAGTAGGAAAATCCTGGCCAAATTTCCCATTGGCCCTTACCAATCATGGCCTCCTTATAATCCCCATCTATGAATTGGCTTCATTAGTCTGCTCTCCTCCCCACTAATATCTGATGTGTGGTGAGCGTTCTGGTGCACTATGGCTGCCGTCGCATCATCCAGGTGGGGCTGCACATTGGTGGTAGTGGAGGGGAGTCTCCATTACCTGTAAAGTGCTTTGAGTGGAGTGTCCAGAAAAACGCTATATAAGTGTAATCAATTATTATTATTAATGTTTCTCGAGATTCATAAGTATGGAATGGACACGATCTTAAGAGAGGAACCAGGGGAAATTGATACCAGGGACAACAAGGTATCATTTTCATATATTTTTTTAGATTAGAGCAACACTAAAACTTCTTGTAGGATTAATTTAAAATATAAGAAAGGAATTCAAATCACACTACATAGACACCAAAAATCGAATTTAGAAAGTGCTAGGTTCCATAGGCAGTTATTGAAAAGTATATTGAAACATATACAGTAAATACATGTGTTGCCCAGTGCAAACTATCCTCACTTCTAAAAGAGGCACAGTAAACTGGAGAGATCACATTCCACTATAAATACAAAGAATACTTTGTCTTAATGGAGTGATTAAATGCACTGAAACATCTCTTTGCATTCACTTTATAAATTATTTCTCCGATAATTTTCCTGTTTTTTTAGTAAATTTAGGGCCTATCAACATAATCTCACTTTTTTAGATTTTTATGTAATCCTAACTGAACTGCTTTACCAATATATTTTTCTAATCTTACAGTAGAGACTATTTGAAGATTATTATTTTGCTAATAGAATGATAGTGTTACTTAAAGACGTTGTTTATGGCATTGTTTAGGCAAGTTGAATTCTTTCATATATACACTATGGTTCTCTAATATCTGATTCCATTAAACGTGTATGGTGTATTTTGTTACATAACCTTTTATAACAAAGTCAAATCGCATTTGTATATATTCTACATATTATAATAATGACAGTTTTTTAATAAATATTAAAAAGATCTTACATTTCTTGTAATGACCTGATTGTTGTTATTAACATTTACTACAATAATGTAAATGGTGGTTTTTATTAACAATGACCATATTTAATGAAATCATGTATGTAAAAGCATTATTTTATACATTTGTATAGCAAAGAAATCATGCCTTTTGTATAGATATACATGTATAAAATTGTCTCTTCCTGTTTATAAACCAAAAAATAAAAAAGCACCACTGAGAAAAGCACTCTGAGATAATGTTCTTGTTACTGCGAAGAGTAACGTATACTATTCCACAGTTCTAGACTAATGTTTAAGTACTCATGTTCCTTGTTCACGGAGAAGGAGTGGAAAAACACACAAACGCACTATCACTTTGCCTCATCTACTGCCTAAGCCAACATGGGGTTTAGTACAACTCTTTGTAAATATTGATCTCAAATTACAGAAACAATTATTTACCTTAACATTTCTGAGCCCCTTCTCAAAGAGACAGAGCATCTCTGATAGCTTGTTGTCTGAATGCACATTATAGACAGTTTGGCTCCGCTGCTGGAGTAATCCAATGATGTATTCATTCTCAATTTGCTCATGCATTTTAAATTCCTTGAAGGTAGCACATAGTGACTGGAGAAAAGAGCGGAAGTCGTTGTTGTTGGAGAAGTTGGTCTTCGACAGCTGAAAAAGAACAGTGAAAGGGATTATTAGCCCTAATATGTATAAATAATGAAATGCACACCCAATCCTAATTGCTAAATACCCGCCAAGAGGAAAGCTGTATTGCATGTCACAAGATAATCTAAGGGTTTAACATTCTGGGCTGCTAAAATGTTAGTTCTTAAAGAGCTTATTTACATATAAAGCAAAATGTTTAATACTTTTACAGTATTAAACACTGAAAATTAAGAGAACGCTACTGTGCTCAGGCTTTATAAGCCGCACAACTCAACAACATACTTGTATGTAGTTTAGCATTACTGCCTCGTAGCACTGGGAACCTGGGTTCAGTTCCTGACCTGGCGTGCTGGAGTTTGTTTGCTCCAAACGAGTTTCCTTCAGGTGCCGTTTTCCTCCCACAGTCCAAATACATACTGGTACAGTATGTTGACTGGCTTCTGGGAAAATTAACCCTGGTGTGAGTGTGTGTCTATCTGCGTTTGTGTCTGCCTTGCGATGGGCTGGCATCCCATCCATTGTGTGTCCTGCCTTGCACTCATTGCTTGCCAGGCTAGGCTCTGGCTTCCCCATGACCCTGAATTGGATGAAGTGGTTAGAAAATGAATGGATGGATAGTCCCATTAACCTTACCCTTGATATTGCATTATTGTAAATTAATACAATATCTGCAGCAGTATCACAGTGTAACATGAATAGTGAATTCTTCTTAAGATGCACATAACTAATAAATAGAAAAGTTTAAGATTTAGAGCACCTTACATATCACATTGAACTGTTCACACAGGTGACATTCTAGGTTTGATGTACAATAGCTTTCTGTTAATTAGAACTCTAAACCTGCCTGGGAGGGCAAAAAACTAAACACAGACCTATTTTTTAAGTAATTGCTTTATGTACTTATTATTGACTGACATAAGTAGTAGACGTCACTGAATTTTCAACTTAATATTTTTTTGCATAATGACACCTAAAAACATTAGAATTGAAGGATTACTAATAAAATATGGTACTTAAGCCACATTTAAGTACTTATGTACTTAAGATACTAAGATCTGGACTGCAGCTAATCTGCGTTTTCTAATCTATCCATCCATTTTCTATACACTTACTCCTGGTGAAGGCTGTTGTGGAAGGCTGAGTAGGGCAGACCAGACTTCTCCGATATAATCCCTCCAGCGTGTCCTGAATCTGCCCCGGGGTTTCTTTTCAATGGGTCATGCCCAGTACACCTCTAGCACCCTCTTGATCCAGAGGAGCAGCAACCGTACTCCAAGATCCTCCCTTATGCCCGCGCTTACAGAGTAAGACCAGTACCCCTACAGAGTAATCTCACTTCCATATCCCCATTTTATTCTTTCCGTCACTATCCAAGGCTTGTGACCATAGACGAGAATGAGGCCGTCCGAAAACTCAGATCCCACTTCACCACCATGGTTTAGTACTGCAGCCACAGCACCGATCCCCTCTGCCCTCATTTATGGCCAAGACCCCAGGGTATTTAAACTTCTCCACTTGGGGCAGCTGTTAGCCCCCTCACCTGGAGAGAGCAAGTCAAGCCCTCCCAGGAGAAAACCCATGACCTCAAATTTGTGGAGTTGCTGACCCCTCATTCCGACTGTGTCCCACTTTCCAGCGTGTACTGGAGATCACAGTCAGATGAGGCAAAGAGGACAACATCAGCAAACAGCAGAAAAGGTTTATCATTCAAGATCTGCTGATATTCCAAGAACCAACAAAAAAAACAAAACAAGAGGACACAATGTACATTACATTTGTTTCCTAGAGTAGCCCAGATCGCAGGAAAGATGTGTAGTTTCCATAACAATCTGACCTTGTAGTCTCAAATTCAAGTGTGAAAAGGGGTGGAAGGTGTGGTTTGCTAAACAGTAGTGGAAACAGACAACTTGTCTTAGGCTTTCTGTACTGTGGTATAATGCCCACGTCACAGAAGTCAGACCACAAACAGCTTTACCCAGGATATCGCATTTTAATGAATCACCGATTTCATTATTAGGGTCAAATGCGAACGGTATTTTAATGAAACAATCTCGGTGAAGTACTTTGCTCAAGGATACAACAGTAGCGTCTCACTGTGAGTTTTAACACACTACACACACCCCTCCCCCGAGTCCAAAGACCTAACGACTTAATGGTAGCACTTAATGCATTAAATACATTAAGTAGAAAAATAATAGAAACACTTTCAAATGACTACAAATAATGTTAAAAACAGCTTATGAAAGTGTGAGGTGCGTACTCCACTAAAAACTAGCACAAAATGTTTTCACAATAATACTTCCCTCCGTTTGGACAGCTTTTAACAATAATGTTACAAAGTATACAGTTGTATATGAATAACCTTACTCGGTGCTTGCGGTCTTTCTGCACCCAAGTTTTAACAACGAGGCAAATTGAAAAATGTTAAATTTGAGGAGTTAACACACAGCTGTTAAGACATATTACACCTCAGGTCCTCTGATCAAGAGGCCAGTTACACAGTATAAAAAAAAAAACTTTTGTTCATAAACATTAAGAAACAAAAACAGTGTTTAATTTTGTTGCAATGGTATAGGTTCAAAACAAACCCCAGAATTTCCTAATGCGTAGCAGAGAAGTGAACAAACACTCCCTTGTCTGAGGTAGCTTCGCCTGTCACGTATGTCTTTTTTAAAACCACCAGCAGAGCTACAGAAAGAAAAGGCGATCTCACCTTGTCGCAATACAAACCCACCAGCTGCTTCATCCGCCAGTGTGGGCCTGTAAAGACATCTACCTCTTCTGGGAAAGGAGACATTTTCACTCCATGGAAACAGCGGAACCAGAGAACTGCGCTTTGAGTCCAGCGGACCTTAGACAGGTGAGGCAGCGCGGGAAGGAACCATGCTGGTTCCCCTCTCACGTGATGAGGGTGAGACTGAGCCTACGTGACCTGCTGTGCGTACTGGAGAAAGAGCGACTGCCAGCGTGCTAATTTATGGTCAACACTAACGGTGACTCATTCGGCGAGTACGTAAAACAGTACTCAAGCAGAATGCTTACATTCCACTGCTATAAGCCTAGATGCTAATCAGCGCCAACCAGTGCTGGTAATGATTTGTTCATAGTCATAAATTACAAGTGATTAGAACTTACGCTTTGTAACAAAATCAAACAGAAACCTGACTGCTGCCAATTGTAAATATATATTAATTTTGTTATGTGTTTTTATGTAATTAATTTGTTTGAAAGCTATTTTGGGAAATAGGATTACTATTTAGGATAGAGATAGGATAACTAAGCAAATAAGCATTATTGCAGGGATTATATACGTTTGCACAAAAATCTAACATTTGTATATAAAGTTGCAGTACAGTACTTTTGTTTCTATACCTCACATCCTATTTCAGTTCGAAATGTGTTCCTGGACTCCTGAGAACAGAAGGCACCACTTTTCAAAAAGTGGGATGTGGGAGTCTGGATCAAGGAACTTTGATGTGGTTTAATTTTTAGCTTTTTATCTAACTGAAGGCATTTTGTTCCAATATTGAGGGCAATGTTCCTTTTTTACAAATTTGCTCCCATTTGGCATTCCACAAAGCTCTGGTCTTGGTCCACTTCTTTTTAATGTGTAACCAGTGGATTGAACTTTTCATAGGTGTGGCATCAGCAAATTATTAGTGCATTTATAACATCAAAGCTGGATTTCTGCAGCTCTTTACTCTTTGCTCAACTCTTTGTTGGTTCCCCCAACACTCTTCTCAAAAAGTTGCAGTGGGTCCAAAACTCTGCAGCTAGACTACGAACTCACACCAGACCCTGGCATCATATCACTCCTACACTTAAATCTCTACATTGGTTGCCTTTTAAGTCATGTATGCAATACAAGATCTTGTTACTTTTAAGGTTTTTTAAAATCTTGCTCCATCGTTCCACACCATCATGAGCTCTTTTATGTCATCATTCTATCTGTATGAACCTGGATGTTCTCGTTTGTGTTCTGGTGTTTTTTTATTTTACATTTTGTTGTACTTTTTTGTCTTTTTCTTTATCACTATGTACCATATCCTTGGCTTTGGAAAGGTGCTTTATAAATAAAATGATTATTATTAAGGATGGTAACCAACTTTATGCTCACAGGACACCTCATATTAATCCCACACTATCTGTCTCGTCACACTGCTTATAAAAACATTTTACATCTGAACTCTGACAAGACCAAACATTAACTGCTTGTCTCTCCTTATTAACTCAATACATTTGACTACTCATCATCCTAGATGGAGTCCAACTCATTGATTCAACTACTTCAGATGAGACATAAAACCGAGGTCCTGACTCTCTATGGTCATTAAAAATCCCAGGGTGTTTCTCAAAAAGAGTAGGGGTGCAACCTGGATTCGGCATCCTGGCCAAATTTCCCATTGGCCCTGACCAATTATGGCCTCCTAATAATCCCCATTTATGAATTGGATTCATTACTCTGCTCTCCTCCCCACTGATAGCTGATGTGTGGTGAGCGTACTTGTGCACTATGGCTGCTGTCGCATCATCCAGGTGGATGCTGCACATTGGTGGTGGTGGAGGGGAGTCCCCATTACCTGTAAAGCACTTTGAGTGCAGTGTCCAGAAAAGCGCTATATAAGTGTAAGCAATTATTATTATTACTCGGGTGGCTAATCTTCTGTTCATTTTTGACACAAGTCTTACAATTCAAAGTGAAAGTTATAATAATGTTTTTTTATTTTATTTTCATGACTTAACCGGCTTGAGTATTGTATTACAGTGCTTGGTTGTCTATCCAAACATGGCCTTCACTATGTTCAGACCTCAGATGGGTAGATTTCATCCAAAACTAAAACGCATCAACATACTGTAGTGTATATCACCCATTTTAGCTTATTTGCACTTGAACTGCTGTAAATTAAAAATACTTTAAAAAATAGCTCACCTTTAAGGGCTTGAATTGTTTGTCTCCTGACTACATCGGTGAGCTGTCAATTCCCTAGATACCTAAATCGTTTTTGCACAATTTGCACTCTGGTCTTCATTCAGTTTCCAAAACAAGGCTCTGAACACTGGGTGACCAGTGTTTGTTTTGTTTTTCTTTCTTGCATCACTTTCATCCTCTTCCTTCAATGACTGAGCTACCTAAAAGCAAATTATGGATGAATGGACTGAATGGACTGAAAATACCTCCCCTCATTCTCCTGAACTGCAAAGAATAACGATAATTTGCATTCCGTATTTTTATTTATTTGTGCGTAAAGAGGGCAGCTTGCATATCTCTACATTAAATGATGGTCAGCTTACCCACAGGAAATCAGGCTACTTACAGTATGTCAACAAATCAATGAAAAAAATGTTTGAGTGTGAATGGAGATACTTGCGATTTATATTTTGGCAAACAATGAGGAAGGTTAGGCAAATTCATGTGCTTCTCTTGCCTTCAACCTATTAATGTTTTAGCAAGACACTGATACACAGTTGGAGGTGCAGCATCAGTTGGAGGAAAGGCGCATTACTCATGGTAAATGCATGTAGTCTTGGAGGTCACAGGGGCATTCTGTTCCTAACATAGCCTTGACCAAATGAGTCCTAGTCATCTGAGCCCATCCAATCAGTAGGCCAAAGAAAAATCGATGTGTTTATTTATGGATATCTGTTTCTAATGCCAGTCAGTGTCCACAGCGCCATTACTGACTACTGTTCTTAAAAATCATGCAACACTCAAATCCAGAGGACAAAAAAAATTGTTGATCCAATGTAATTTAACAAGAACAATTTAAGGTATCAAGAGATCTAGCAAAATGTGGCTGGAGTCCTTGAAGATGAAGGCTGGGATCTTTGAGATGAGTGTTACACTTCAAAATGTTACAGACAGGGTCTGCAGTCTGTGTCAGATCTTGTAGTAGACCCTATGCAATGCAGTAAGAGCTGGAGGAAAAAGGCGGCGTGGTATGGGAAAACACACAGGGGTTTAATGGTGCACAAAATAACAGTGACAGTCCATGAGACAGTGAGCAGGGGAGACAAAGGGTGGCGTCCAAATCTGAGCAGGTCTGAAGGAGGGTCAGGGCACATTCCAAGAGTCCATTGACCATAGATCCATCCTGAGACCTGATGAGGTTAAAATCCCAAGGAATGAGGAAAACACGAACACAGGAAACAGGAACACAGGAAAACACGATGACCATCATGGACATCCTGGGATAACGGGGCAAGGTCCTCCAGACCCCAGGCTCAGAACACAGGAGGTGTTGGGGATGAGGTCTTTGCCCTCAGGAGACGGACGTGCTAGGTAGGCTAGGTAGGCCTCGTGACATCCGTACCCTAAAGTTGAGCCCTGAGCTGTGAAGGAGCTCAGAATAAATAGGGGGAGACACAACAAGGCACACCTGGAACATGTATAAATGATCACAGAGATCTTTTGACAGGAGTAAAATGGAGCACCATCTAGGGGAGGGATGTCAACCGTAACAGAACAATTCACACTAATATACAGATGGAAATGCAAAGGAACACGTAATAGGTTTATTCCATGCTGAAAAAAAGAAGAAAGAGTACACAATGTTTCGGCCATGGAGCCTTCTTCAGGTGTGAGAGAGACAGGGCAGTAGGCAAAGGTAATGTAGCAGGAGAACAAAGGTTGGGAGGGAGGAGGAGTGAGAGGCGGGAGCAGGGGACAGAAAGAGAGGCCAATCAAGAGGTGTGAAGTCAGAATGGGTGCAGAGAGGTGTGAGATGAAACTTCCAATGAATGGAGAAAATTTAAAAGAACAGTAGTTTGTTGTTAAGGGAAGTGAGAATGTGTGATCCTAGCTGCAGAATAATTTTAGTTTCGGTAGTCTTTCTCATGTATGAGTTCGGAAAACCATCTTTGAGAACACAGATGGAGAGATTAGAGTGGTAGTGGCCGTCAGAGGTGAAATGAGAAACAATTTGCTTGGAGAGATCTTTAATCTTCACAGCCCTGACGTGTTCTCTGAAGCGGTCTCCGAGTCTCCTTCCTGTTCCTCCAATGTAGATGGCTGGGCATTTACTGCAAGAGATACAGTAAATAAGGTTGCATGTGTAAGAATTTCATCACATCATCCACTAGAGGTCATCTGAAAGCAATGTATTAGTGATCTTAATACTATCATTACATGTTGAGTTGTTGTTACAGGTTGAGTCTAATCTATGTGAATTGTTTTAGGACACTAAAAGAATTAATGGATTGAGGTGAAAATAGCACCTATGGTCCTAATTATGATCCTCATTTCTTTTTGATGAAAATTGGATGTAAATGAACTGGAGTAAAAGAAGAATTTAAAATCTCATTTGAATTGTTAAATTGAATCCTAAATAGACCAGAGTCTCATGGAATGCAGATGTACTGTATGCTATGGCTTAAAGATATTAGTCCTATGAGGAGGGCACTGAGCTAAATTCCCCAGAAAGATACGTTTGTTTACAGCCAAATGTGGCAGTTTTTGTGTCTGTTTTCAGGAGACTTCTGAAAAAAATCCACCTATTGAAAAGACATGGCACATATGATGAGGGAGGTGGCAATAGTTTGTGGTCTTGGAACAACACACTCTTGTGGCCTTTTAGTGAAAAGTGTGAGTATTTTTTGGGGATAAAAAAATGGACTAAGAATTCCAGAACTCCATTCTGGTTAAAGACAGGAGACAAGAAACACCTTCCTAAAGTAAAAAAATATTGAACTTTTTGATGACAGATGTGTTTTTTTAGAAGGAAGCCTTAGAATAATGTCCCCATACCTAAGGAGAGCCTTTGAAACTAGACAGAGAAAGTCTATAAGATAAGAGTCTGGAATAAGAAATGGCTTCAGATGGCACCTTTGTGTTTTCACTGTGAATATTATGCATCTGACTGCTTTCATGAAGGAGAAAGATGAGGTCCAAGATGAGGGAACCGGTCTAGAGCTTTTACAAGGAAGTCTGAGGAAG